CCCATACCCCCGGTGAAAAGTGGGTTGATGTTTTGCATCTTTTGTTTAGCCAGAGGTGTCTCATAATGTCAGGTTGCAGTAAGAAGTACATGTATACATTGTTGAGACGACTCTGTTCAGGAGTTATGGCTTGGCTGCCAGTTTTATTGAAAATTTGCCACCGTATCCTGCCATATTTGTCATGTTTGTGACAGCTGAAATTTTCTGTTATCTTTAAAGTCCTAGGATCCCTCTTGGTTTCAGTTGGAAAACGATAAATCAAGGCTTATCTTGTCTTAGTGAGCCCCAGTTCATGTATATATATATCAACCAGGCAGGTAAAACTCAGTAGAGATGCCAAATGTGTTGATAAACCGGCCAGTATCAAGGAGGTCGCAAGCGTAGGCATGATGACACGTTTCTTGGGACGCCACATAAGGAACTCGTAGGGCTGGCTGAGGGCAGCAAAGCACTCCGTGTTCAAGTAAAAATACGAGAACATTGACATTCTCAAACACATGCCTGCCTCACTGTGGAAGGTGACAAGACCGCAAAATAAAATCATTCCCCAAGATTGTCTTTTGACGTTGAGCCTCAGTCTGTTAAGCTTAGCTGGATAGCCATGTTTATTGAAAGGTGGGGCAATTTGTACCTCAGAGTTGACTTCACTGATTGCAGAAAAAGCCAACTGTCAGAATGCCTTAGTCAGTATTCATCAGCCAAACCTCCTTTTCCTGGACTGGTCTTTAAGCCAAGCTCAGCTCTGCAGGGCTTAAGAGAGTGAATGGTAAAATTTGCTACTGCCCCAAGCTTTGGCCGTGTCCGAAACGGGCTTCCAGAGCTACGGCTAGGTCTATTGTCTGCGCATCTCCACGCATTTCCAATGGAGGGAAGACCTAGACCTAGCTCTAGACAACAGATTCGGATGCAGCCGAAGTTTTACTGAGGGATTACAGTCAGCTTGCCCATGAGCAATTCCCTCTGCTGACAATCGAACATACTGCTCTCAAGCTCTCATAAGAGAGTCCCAGTATTTGATTGACTGGGAAATAATAAATGCAGTTAATGTCACGGACACGCTGCCTCTCTGGATCATCTATGTACAATGCATTTTTCAACATTGTTTAAATTGATTTGTCAATTAAAGTATTTTTCAAGGATAAACAGACATGCAAGTTCGGCCATTTAACCCTTGCCATTCTGAATCCAACAAGAATGTGCATGATTTCGATGGTCCATAGGCGGTCAGGGGTAATAAAGTCAATCTCGAGTGCATTCAAAGTCTCAAGCCTTTGTGTATTTTGGTCTTGAATTCCTCAGACTAAAATCACAAACACAAGTACACCAAGCACTCCAGTTGCTAAGAAAAGTTTAAAAATTAACAGGTTTTTGGTGTTCTGATAACCATTTCCATGGAATGTGTTAAAGGCTGTTTTAACTAATGCCATGCAGAGAGCAATTGTATCGTCGGATCCTAAACCATGTTTATGTCTGTTACACTTTGTTATCTGTCGCTTATTGTAATTTTTGTTTATTCAATGTCACATGACTTGGGTACATCATTAGATATTGATGGGTTGAACAGACCTCTTCCAACAGTGAAATCTCTCTACAAGAATCTTCTTAGCTGTCTGACGATAAATCCGGTTGAAGAGACAGTAGATGAACACATTGAAGGCACTGTTGAAAGCGGGCAACCAAATCAGGATGAATTCCATCCATGGAGGGATATCTGTGCTTCCAAAACTGTCCACCATTTGCCAGACTAGAACGGGTGTGTAGCAAGCAGCGAATGTCAAGGTGACCAGAAGGAAAGTCTTGAGAGCTTTATTGTCCTGGATGTTGTTTGCTCCGTTGGGGTTGTTGGCGTTGGCTCGTCGCTCGTGCTGTCGGCTGATTTGAATCAGACGAGAATAAATGCATGTCATTGTGGATGTTGGAAATATATCTCCCAGAAAAAGGAGCAGAGAGGTCAAGACTGGGTGATCATTGTTTAGAAAACAGGTGCATGGAATTGGAGCATACACGGCAAATTTCTCAACTGTGAATGCGAAAATTAGATACATAGAGAATGACAGGAATGAGGTTACAAGCACAAGTCTGATGACACGTGTCTTGGAGCACCACACAGGGAACTTGTAGGGCCGGGAGACGGCAATGAATCGCTCGATGTTAAGGTAAAGGAGCGAGAACACCGACATATGGAAACACAAAGCTGTCAGGAGGGTGAACACCATACAGGCAATTTCGCCAAACGGCCATCTGTCTAGAGCTGAAGCAATGATAAGGAAGTGCATCATTATGCCGATAAGGAGGTCGTACACAGCCAGTGATGTCATGAGGACTTTGGTACTGTCAGCTAAGTTGCACACCCGGCGCACCACGGCGATGCAGAGAACATTACCAGATACAATTAGCAGTCCAAGGAGAGCGATGAAACAAGTACGGAGGGCAATGAGGGCTGGAGACAGGTTGGAAAAATCTGTTTCCATGGAGTTATTCATGTTTCAAGTCTTCGGATTCCCTCGCTTTCAAGTTGAGTCACCAACACGAATGAGCAATTGTCAAGGTCTTTGTCTTTGAGTGTTGGCACTCGGTCAAGTCGAACCAAATGAAGCTGCCAGTGTGGACTTGTTGACAGACAAGTCTTGAATTATTGAGATTTCAAGTCAATCATCATCCTCCAAGCCAACAGTTGCCGGACTGGTGTTAACACAGACTAAAGTAAACTGTGCAGATCGCATGGTCAAATAAGTCCATTGTAAATGGTTGTAGCCATCAGAAGCTGTGTTTCAGCACCAAATGCATTCATCAGCTTTGCTCTCAACACTTGATATAATGCCCAGCTTATACCTTCAGCCCCCTGATGTAAAGAACAGCCTTTTTTGACTCTGATTGACATTGGCAATTAGGAGTCTACCATTGTCACATAAACAAGTGGTGTGCCAGTTTGCTGGATGGCTTTTAATAAAACTGTCACGTTTGATGAGTGAGGGTTGATTTATTTGTTCAGCCAATCTTCTTGGCACTGACATTGATGCAGGGAAAATAAAGATTTCACAAAGGAGACTCTGTTAGTTGTTTTGGAAAGAAACGTTTTCCAGGTTCAATATTTCATGGATTGGTTCGTTGATGAGAAATGTGTCTTGGAAGAAAGCATGCCACTCTGTTGCCAACACTTTCCGTTTTTTGTGCATTCATATTTTTTGATGGAGCAAGTACAGAGGGCAGGGAAGCCTAGGAACAGGCCTGAGTCCATTGCACTGGAGTTTTTTTTTTATATAAGTCTTCCCGTTCTTAAGTAGTGACAGAATATAAAACAGCAAGATTCCTGCAGCCTTCAATTGATCAGTTCTGCCATTGCCTTTGGGAAAACTCATACCCCCCTGCATTATTTCCCAGTGTCAGCACAGGAGAAATCAGCAGCTAAGAAACAAGTACTCGTAGCGTTGCTTCAGAATCCCAAAGCAACTCTGTCGACCGATCCGACTGCGCATCGGATTTCAGAGATGACTTAGGCACAACACTGTAAACGAGATTGTGCAGTGGGTATACGGTAGTGACCAGTTCTTCCCTTTTTGATGCATTTACAAGCTTTCTTCCAATTCCAAAGCGATCATCCACCATGCAAAGCAACTGCCTCAGCAACCAGGGGAGCTTTAACTCTGCACTGTTCCATTACTTAATGGGGTTCCAGTGTTTGATTTGGCTGTTTACCCTAAACCCTCCTGCCTACATTGCCTGGCAACTACAGTCAGACACATCAGTCTGCATCATTTGTCCAAGCGGCTTGCCTGCCCAGTGTGACAAGATCCAACGGGTCAACCCTCCCCAAGGCCAAACAGCCTGGGAGTCTGTGGTTGCCAGTCACCTCAAGATCCAACAGTGGCATTGTCTCAACATGGCCAGTTTGGTCCCTGCTGTTGATTGCCCAGTGCATCAAAGTTCGTCAGACTTTTTCACCTGATTCACTGCGCTATGTCTGGCAGGGTTAGGGTTAAGCATTTAAAGTTGTCGTTACAATGTCAGACATATGAATGGCTTATTGGTCGGATGAATTCTAATCTGTTAAAGTTTTGATGAGTTAATGAAGGGCAATTGGGTTTATTTTATTTAATGAAGACTATTATTTACCCTGATTTTTTTTGGTCAAGAAAAATTGTGGCTTTTACTATTATTGGAATATTTGCATCCATTCTTATAAGTTTTTTCTCCGGAATGAGTCAAGCCTGAAGTACAAAGCAAAGATTCTTTGCTGTTGATGGTGAATATTAATTCAGTTGTAAAAGGAAATTCGTCTGTGAAAAGGAAGAGAATTGACTGATTTCATGAAAGTGTTTGACTTCATAGGAATGAGGAAACTGTTGAGAATCTCATTTTTATTGGTAAATTAAATATTGCAGTTTGACTGCATTTTGCAAGTTTGGCCTTAGATAAAAAATGGTGCAATTTGGTGGGTAAAATTCTATTTTTAGTTGTGATAAGACTGACACTAGTCTATGTTTATGCAGTGCCTAGTGCACTGGTATGTTCAGTATCCCTGCTGATACCAATAGACCACATTGTCCTATCTAAGCCTGTAAATGCAAGCTCTCTAGCCTTGTCAGTAATACCACACTAGTCAAAATCATTTGCCTCAGCTTTCTTGACTGACTGTTATGGGAATTAGGCTTACATTGATTAGTTGAGATACTGACAAGGTCAACTTGTCAGATTGCTTGATTTGGCCAGGCAATGAAAACTCCCTTCACAGTTTGATAGCTAGAGCCTGGCAGAGTTCTGAAGGAGAAACAGTTCCACTGTCATTCAATCTGGTGATCTAAAAACTCTTATCATGGCAAACCAGTTAATACTCTCATTCGGACAGTTATACTTCAAGTAGCTCATTGCCAGTTACCCTACTGAATCTTTTCATGCAACCTCTGTAATCTTGTTTATTTTTCACCTCAAGATTCCCGGAGAAATTTGTCAGAAACCCTCAATTTGTGTCGTTGAGCGGTTTCCCTTTGTCTTCTTTTCAGGAGTGGGAGGGCAACGCAAGCCGTGCTGTCTCTGTGCGAGAGCATTTGGAGCAGATTACGGATCTGGTCATACAGTGGAGGAAACTGGAGCTTAGGTACAGCCTTGATTCCCAGTTTGCACATAATCCATGAGTAACTTGAAAGCAGTGAGATCACGTTGCTTCCTTGTAAACCTCATGCTTTCATACCCATTCAGTCACTGACATAATTTGTTTAGTCATCAGTCAAGGAGTTTTAACGTGATGGCAGTGATTTACTTATTTCATTCACAGGAGGGGGTGATTTGGAGGTAATATTGATATTTATCAGAGTATAAAAAAAGGAGTCTGCTATAGTCATTTTTTTCCTTGTTTGTTAGATTCTTTTGTCAAGGTTAAGAATTTTGTCGTATCAAAAGTGATCGCACTCACATTGTGGGTGGGGCTGCTACCTGGGTGAACAGTTGATATATTTTCTAATATGAAAATTAAAAAAATTCTTTGTAAAAATTTAATTCCAATTATTATTCCTTTAAAAAAATGGATTAAACTGTTTGTTTAGATGTTGGTCAGCATGTTTAGACACCGTGGCATACCGGATGGAGCAGGGTGCCAACAAATGGTGGTTTCACATCTACCAGCTCCTCCAGTCACATCTTGGCCTGGACATCACCAAGGCGACAGATGACCAAGACTGTCACCCCAGTGGTGGGGAGACCAGTGCAGCAATGGGAAGCGAAGGGGATGATGGGAAGAGCCAGACCACCGAGTCGCTGGTGGCCGCCCTGGAACAGTTCCTGGAGGGCTCGAACCTCGGCGAGTTTGCCGGGAGGTTGCAGATGCTGCTGTCCTTCCACTGTCAAGTAGCAATGCAGCCTAGAAGTCAGAAACAGAGTAAGTCATTGGGACATGTACCACAGAAAGGAACAACTTTAAATTTCACATTTTTTTGTGAATCTTATTAATATTCATTAATATCTTGGCTGGTCACAACATGCTATTGGTTAATGAGATGTAAAACGGGCACATACGATGGCCTGTGCATTGGCATGATATCGTAATGCCTCCAATTGTTGTGGCTGGATTAGTGTACAACTTTTCTCTCCAAAACATCAGATCTTTTCCCTTCTGGACAGAGGTTTATAGGAAGAGGTGTTTCAGTGAGCATTACATTTACCCTTTTTGTTTGGTACAGTGGAGCTAGTTAGCATTCTGTGGAATCTCTATTGCTACTACAAGCAGTTCTTGGCGGCAGTGGAAGCTGAGATCAAAACTCGCAGGGCTCCAATTGAAAAGGAACTGAAGGTACTGTCATCGTGACATGTGACCCGCTCTGTGAAAAAGGGTATTAAGGGACACTCTGCTATTTTGGACAGGGTGATTTTTTACTTTCCTGGTTTTTTGGCTTCTATAATATCAGTACTTCCACAATTCATACGAGAAACCTAACTGTTGCTATGGGCATCAAGAGACTTTTTTCTTGGCTGATTTCTTTTCTCACTTCCTGTGTTTAAAGCGATTTATCTCTGAAAGTAATTCTGTTAATGTGTATGATATGATTATGCAAAAATCAATATATCTCCAGATTGCAAAATGTCACACGGTTCAAACCTACACCAAAGTAAAGCTTACAATGTAACCTATTCAAAAGTGTATGTTACTCATTTTGCAAAAATGTCCCATAATACCCATTTTTTTTGTGGAGCGGGTCACATGTTCTCTTTTTCTTTTGAAGTATGGAAGTGTTACACGTGGTACCACATACACTTTGACAGGGAATTGAAAAGAGGGATATTTATAAATGCTTAACCTCCTAGATGCTTCAAAATCTACTAAGGGTTTTGGAAGATTTTGCAAGAATTTAAGATGATATTACCCAGCTTCACTGCATGCAGTTTGATTCCCTTTCACACTTGGAGGATAGAGAATATGCTGGTGGGTTATTTGTACGTTTAGAAAATGTTTGAAATCCAAGATCTTGAGATATTCCACGTGGTTATTCATGGAAGACGGTATGATTTTTCTATCGGCTTTTTTTCCTCCAGGGCTTTGTCAAGATTGCTCGCTGGAACGACATTAACTTTTGGGCTGTCAAACAGGCAGTTGAGAAATCTCACAAGACGCTGCACAAGTTCAGCAAGAAGTTTGAGGTAAAGCCCTGACAACCGGGCTAATAAAATGTATCTTTTGTTTGCCCGTCTTACAGCCTACAAAATATCAACTGTTTTGTGTCTTTGACATTTTTGCTTATGAGATACTCTCCATAATAAAACTAATATTGGAAAAAATTTTTTCACATACCAGGCAGAGCTGAAGGAGCCAGCTCGAGGCACCTTTATAGACACTAAGGTAGCGGAGAAAGAAGAGATCTTCACAGACGGCAACGCAGGTACCAGACTAAGTGACTTTGATGAGTTTCTCACACCAGATGAGTACAAGGTAATGGTTACACGGGTTATCCCATAGTCTGCTGCCACCAGTTTGGATAATTTCATTATCTCACCTCCTTGGACCAATCTGGATAGTTACACTGATCATCCCACTTGCTGCCATTGGTTTATAGTTTCACTGATGGTCTCCACTGCTGCCACCAATTTGAATAATTTCACTCCTTATCCCACCTGCTGCCACCAATTTTGAGTAGTTTCACTCCATATCCTACATGATGCCATCAATTGGATAGTTTCACTCCATTTTCCCACCTGATGCCACCAATTTGTATAGTTTCACTTCCTATCCCACCTTCTGCCACCAATTTGAATAGTTTCACTTCATATCCTATATGGTGCCACCAATTTTGATAGTTTCACTCCTTTTCTACCTGCTGCCACCAATTTGAATAATATCACTCCTTATCCAACCTGCTGCCACCAAATTGAATAGTTTTACTTCCTATCCCACCTTCTGCCACCAAGTTGAATAGTTTCACTCTTTATCCCACCTGATGCCAAAAATTTTAATTATTGCTCAGCTTATCCAATGCATTGTTGGGGCATAGTTCATAGTTTGTTAGGGCATACAATAGTTCATGGTAACATATTTATTTTGGCATAATTGTTGCACAAAGTCTATGTACGGTATACCTCTAAAGTCTTAAAATGGAGGTTTCTCAGTTTTCTCGTTTTCTTTTTATTGACAGAGCTACATAGAGATTATCCCACCTGCTGCCACCAGTTTGATCACTGATAAGTCACTGCATGCGAGGCTCTCCAGCCTCCTGCCTCGTATGACCAAACTATGTCTTACTGTCTTTAAGAAATGCCCCTATCCTGCTCTCACGGTGGCAGTGGATGAATTCACAGGTATGGACCTCAGCTTTTCAATGTCAGTTTTTTGGGGGGAATGCTAAGTTTGCTTTTGCCTTTTCGGGTTTCTGTTTTGTGGACTTGATGGAGTTCAGTAGTCTGTTATGTGAACTCCTTGTCAGTAAAGGGCACATAAAAGGTTTGCTGTCATTTCAAAGTTAAGTTAAGGGAATAGATTGAAGTATATACAACACATTTTCCTTGGAATGTGCACAAAATGTGCTATTGTGTAGTTGTACTTCTTTCCAATTTTTGTTGTAACAAACTTATTTAGTGTGGTAATACAACTGGCACTGTAAGCCTTGAAGTCGGTGTACTTGTGATCCAGTCACTAAAGTTTTTCGTATTTCAGCGTCAGAAAGAGTTGGAGTCGCATCATACTTTTCTTACTTTGTATATTAATTTGTTGTAGGAGAAATTGTGTCTGGTGTCAAAGAGCTGCAGAGTTTAGATGTCTCAAAGGTAGGACTGGCAGAAGTTGAACGAAATCTTGAAATTACACTGACACGTGTCAAAGAACCACTTGGTCACTGCTGTTTCTGGTACCCATGGCAAGATATATTTCTTCACTTTGGTGGATTAATCTTTTTCTCAACATTCCCAAATACTCAATCGTACAATTCCTAAAAACAGTAACTGGATTGCACCAATGCAGTTGTAAGAGCAAGAACATGTTGAACAGGCGTTGCAAATTTGGCCAAGTTCCATACAGCTAAGGTGCTTGTTTTCTTGGTCGCAGGAAGCGGATAAGGAGAAACAGAAGACCCAGGTTCATCGCATACAGCAGAGGAAGAGGAAGGCCCTAGCTGATCTATTCAGATACCTGACTACCATTGGTATGTGATAAGTCTCGCTGAAAAGTCGCATATACTCTGTTTAGGGTTGGATGTGCTGGTGTCTGTCAGTATGTGCCTCGGATACCTATCTATTTGCCTGCTGGGGGTAGGTCCGGCAAGAGCTTTTTGTCTTTCACTTATATAAAGTGAAAAACACTTCCCTCGAAAAGGTCAAAAGGTCCATCATGGTTATCCGGCTTCCAAAAAATCTGCAAGCTTTTTATGGGTAGGGAGCAATGGCAGTCTGAGTAATTTCTCTTTTGATTTTTCTTGATCACTCCAGGGTTGTCTTACAAGAAGGGTCTGACATTGGCCAGACCAGCCAATCAGAACAAAGCCATGTTGCTACCGCCAGTGGATCTTACTGTTGCTTTGGAAACGGAGGATGCAATGATGAGGTAAATGTTGTAAAACCTACAAGGCATGTTTCAGCAGGTGTTGCCATTACATGGTTCATTTTGTTAGGATGTGGTCAATTTTTTAAAGATCTGTTCAATTTTCTTCTCAGCTTCGGCCACTCAGAGACAGTCTCCTTTTGGGCAGGGTGCCAGCATCATTTTGTCAAGTCCATAGCCAGAAGGGCTGCTTTGGAGGCGGCCCTAGCTGCGCCTTCCAAGGTACTCAAAGATTCCCCTGTGCCAAGTGTTACATAGGAAACAGTGCATTTTTAGTGGCATTGCACTTGTGTGTATGGTCATTTGCTTAAACTTGATGCGCATGTGCCGTTTGTAAAGTCACAACACTTCGTTAGTCAAAGAGATGTTAAGTGCATGTGTCTGACCTGATTGTGAGTGCAGAGTTTCTCCTGTGATGCACTCTGATAGCTTGGGATTTCATCCTATTCCTGAAAGTTAAACTTCCATGGATCTGGATGCTGAGAAGTTTAATCCAGTTTCCAAGGTGATCGATGGAACTGCCAGTCTAGATATTTATAGGGAGCCAGATTGGCATGGTGGTTCTTTCCTGATCTTTCCCCTCCTCAGCCCCGGTTTTGATTCTTAGGCTGCTTCCTAATCTGTTGTCTAGAGCTAGGTCAAGGACTTTGCTTTCATGAGAAATGTGTTGAGACACCGAGACATTAAACCTAGCCGTAGTTAGCTCTGGAAGGCTGTTTTGGACACAGCCTTAGGTCAGCCCACATATGGACTGGTTGTTTTGTTTCTATCTGATTCAGTGGGTTTCACTCAGAAGATTGTTTTGGCTTCTTCTCCCACCTCTAAAGCTGTAGCGTCGTCTCACTGTCTCCTCTTGACAGGTATCCGCAGGCTGGCCAGCTACAGTGCCTGGGACATTTTTCAGCAATCCTTGATTTCATCACCAGAAACGATTTTACAAATTTGTCTTCTCTCGTTAGGAATTGGGCATCGGCAACATTGAGCGGTGCAAGGGTTTCACGGAGCATCTCTCGCTGTTGGCCACCACACAGAGACAAGACATCGTCGGCCTCGCCGAGGGGCTGGTACAGATGAGGTAAGGCTTGAAAACCCTGAGCAAAACGGCCCCGTCGCAGCACAAAGACAGACACGTGCCAGATACCAAGAGCTCACACTTGAAGCTGGGATGCCATGACTCAGAATTGTGTTTGTGCAGTGCACAAGATGTAATGACTTGGCATGAATGGGTACCAGCTGAAATGCTATATTGCCCATGACTGGTTCTCAAGTGATCTTTGGTCAGCACTTAAACGTGTCAAGGAATGTATGGAGCTTTTGGCCCTAGTTTTGCCATCAGCATTCAGGCACACAAGCTGTCAGAATGAAACCAATAGATCGGGGAAAAAATTCAAGAAAAATTCTGTTTGTTGTAAGTCTATAAGAAGATCAATGTAGTTGGATACTTCTTGCACATCTTGTCTCTTTTAGTCACATTCCAATTTTTATAATTGTATTTTTGGAAGATCTGTGCTGAACCAGTTGCGGCAGCTCAAAGTCCCTGCAGATCACCGTGGCAACGACCCCGTGCTGCCTCATCAGGAGAGCACGGCTGCCTGGGTCGCAACTTCCAAGGAGCTGGTCGACCTGTCGCGGGAGACAGCCCGCCAGTACCTCCTACTCCTGGACTGCTGCCCGCAGAAGTTGGAAGGGGCTCCAGCTGCGACCCCACTGCCCAGAGAATGGCTGGCTGCCATGGATACTGCCAGGAAGGGAGATGAATTGTGGGTGGCGACAAGGGACAAACTACAAGTAAGACTGTGCCCAGAATCTTGACTGTACAACTAGATCGAGGTCTCTGCCAGTTGCAAAGATGTCGGGACTTGCTGTACATATAATGTGACTTTATCTCTGTAAACCTGTCCCATATCTGAAGTATCTTATTGAGCTCTCTCATTTTCATGTGATTGATGGTAAATGTATAACTTAGTTATATCTGGATGCTTTGAGTTTATTAAGTTGCTTGCTAATAGCTCAATAGTATCCAGATATTTTGCAGATATTTGGATATAACAGTTTTTATTCAGTGGATTTGTGCCAAGTTCATTATGGTTGGACAATAGCCAGTGGTATTTTGTGACAGACTTTTGAAATACGCATTTGTGTAGAATATAGGTTGCCTTTTAATCCTGCAGTGGATGTATTTCCTCACTGCTACAGGAATGCCAAAGTATTCTGGAGATGGCAAACCAGACAGTTGAGCCAAGAGCCAGCCAGTTGGTACAGGATCACGATATTTCTCTGCTATTCTGGTGAGTACAAAAAACCTCAGCAAAGTAGAAAGCTCTAAAGCTCCATCAGGAACAAACATTTCAACATGTTTGCTTTTCCTTGTTACCATAGTACATTTCCAGCCAGTTAGGCACCATTTCAAAATTCTTATTGGGTAGGGTGTCAGACACCACTGTCCGACCGATACATTTATTATCGGTTGGCTATCAGGTTAAGTGCTCTCAAGTGGCCAATTCTAACTGATAAATGCTTTTTATTGCATTACTTCCAAGGCTATGTGGTTTCAGTGGAGCCACACCCCCTCCATTGTTCACTCAATACATGTCGCTGTTATCAGTCGGATGGCCCTGTCCTGTGGTCAACCGATAGGTTTTTTGTAATGATGCCTTCGTGCAAAATAAACCATCTCATCTGATTGAAAAGTTGAGTAAAGATCGATTTAAACTTCATTTTCTTGAAAAACTCATTTCGCTCAAAGGAAGAGCTGTTTTAAAGTCTTGGCAGCTCCTCTTAAAAGGCACGTGCACAGTGGCCATTTTGAAGGTACTGACCAACCTGTAATAAGAAATGTGCTGTGTTAGTACCCAAAAGAACTGACTCCGATTGAACTGACGTCATGTGGAAACCCAACATAACGCCTTTGCTTAAAATCCTAATAGGAGTGACTTGCAACTCATAGACGACACCTTTGAGAAGCTGGAGATGGTCTCGGATGCCTTTGCCGACCTGGAGCAGCTCTTCACCCTCCCCCGGGGTGGGGAGAGATCCTACCTGGCGACTATGCTGACGGAGACCAGGCAGAGACTGCTGCAGACGGCGCTGCAGTACGCACGCTGGAAACGCTGGCTGGTCTGCGTTGGGGAAGGAGGAGAGGAGGAACCAGGGGACGAGGACGAAATGGAGACGGCAGAGAAGGGTAGGTTGCCAAGATATCTATTGTTGAGTGGGAACTCCTTGCACAAGTTAGAATTGAATGTGAACAATTGCAGATAAATAGATCTCAAATTACTGTCTGGTCAGCCAGCACTGCCAAAAGACTTTTTTAATCAAACCTTTATAGATATTTTTCAGCTCCATCTAAGAAAGGCGTCAAAATTGGCTGAAACCAAGTTCTTTTGAAAAAAGCAATGTGTAATCTGGAGCTTTTCAGATGAGCAACTGATGTGAACTAAAGATCTCTCCAATATCAGGATATTTAGACTCTGAAACTGCTGTACCTTGACAACTGATGCGCGCACCTGTAATTTGGGACATTCAGGTTATATAGCGTTGTCTTTTTTCAGGTCCATTGCTGACAGATTTTGCTAATCGGACTGAGTCAGTTCTAGCCAGTGTTCTCTTGGCTGTGCAGGGCATTGTGAAATCCCACCGCCGGACTCAAGCAGGCAGCCAGCCACCGCTGGAGGAGACTCTCTCGGCAGAAAGGGAGACCACTGAGGAAGGTATGGCTGACTTGAACGGCGCACCAGTGAAACTCATTTTTCATACCCAAATGGCAGCGCGAGGGAATACCAGAAAGGCTCTTGGTTATTTTGGATTCAAATTTTGTTACCCTTGCAGAGGAAGAAGACTTTGACCTCCAGGAGGGCCACCTCGTCAAGCATCTCAGCACTGCATTGGGCCAAGATGCTGTCACCCTTGACGTGGGTCGAGTGTCAAAGGTCATGGGGTCATTGTTGTTGGACCTCAGAGAGATGAGGGACGACTGCCATTCAACGAGGGGAATTTGGGTATGTAGAGAAATTGATTTGAAATGGTAGCTGTAGGTTTTTTTGAAGTATAACGTTTGGTATCTCTCTTCGTCAGATCTTTCATTTTGAAAGTCTGAGAGTTGCATGTGTTTTCTCCCCTCTTCTTTGCAGGAATTCAATGCCTGCACTGCTCTCACTCTCAGACTGGTACCCGTACTTCATCAGTACCTTGGCCTTGTAGCCTTCACCCTGAACCAGACTGTCGCATGCCACAGGACGACATGCAAACTGCTGTCCGTACTACTTGGAATATTTTCTGAGCTGGCTGCAAAGGTACAGTACTTTGGAAAAATAGTTCAAGCACATGTCAGCTTGACTGTGGGTTTATCATTCTGCGTAGATGGGATCTGTTTCAGTCCAAGCTTTCCAGTAGGTCAAAGGAGTTTTGTTTTTAGTTCAGTTTTCGATTATAGCTGCCAAAGTGTGACCTCCAGAATTGCGGTATCTGGCGTTGTGGAATTCTTGTGCACAATATTTGTTTACAGGGCGTTTGGAAATAAAACCAACTTCTTCCACAGGAAGCTGAAGTCAGAAGTTTGATCATCAAAGTGACTTTGAGATGAACAGTTCTGTTTTTTTTTAATGGAGACTCAAATAGTGTATGTGGTCAGAGCTGATGTTGCCTCTGCAATAGTCGTATTAGTTTATCCATTCCAGGGTTGCCAAAGTGATATCTTGCTTTGTTATCTTCGTTTCAGACGTGTTCAAATCTCAAGCACATCAATTCTACCTCAGCTTCAGTGTCAAAATAGGCGTCATAATTTTTTTTTTATGTTGTTGCCTTTTTGTTTCCCAAATTCCAGGGTTTCTGTTTACCTGCTGAATATTCTGACGAGGTTGGCGGGGAGGGAGCCACCCAGTTCCAAGACATCGAAGGAGGTGGCATCGGGGAAGGGGAAGGAATGAAGGATGTCAGCGATCAGATTGAAAATGAGGAACAGGTAAAAAAAAAACAGGTGTAGGGCTGAAAGAGGTTGCACATTTTCAACGTTGTTTTCATTTCAATGCGTACAAAACGGTTGAGTTCTTGCATTGGCCCTCCAATGCACACAACGGTGGTCACTGTCAAGGTGCATCAATGCCATAGATGCTGTAGTACTGAGACTTAGGGTGTGGCTATGAGTTGCGGCTGCAGCTGACTCAGACGTGCAGGATCATGGAAGCCGTTGGCTCTTGGGTCAGGCCACTTGCCGTGGACATGTGTGGTACTCTCGATCAACTGATTTGACCGTGGTCCAATACGACGTCAGGCCCTTTTTGTTTGTGTCAACTAAAAATTCGTTCAATGGTAAAATGAATGAAATGCGAGATGTCACAAGTTTTGGAGAGTAAGATTACTTCCATGCCTTTCTGTTGGTGTTTTGGCCTGATATGATTCCATTGTTTGCATAATATATCCAGGGAAAATGATAAGTGCTGAGACTCAGTAGCATGTTTGGTAAATCCTCACAGGTTCAAGACACCAAGAAACCTGGTGAGAAGCAAGACGAGCAAGACTTCTCCAACCAGCCCGATGTCAAGGATGAGGAGCAAGGCATTGAGATGTCGGAGGATTTCCAAGGGAAGCTCCACGATGCGGAAGCCAAAGGTATGACCAGGAACGGCTCGCTGGGAGTTTGGGGGGACTGTAGATCCCAAAATGCCTTAATGTGGTCAAACATCACCAAGCTACTTTAACATTAGATAGAAGACGTCCAGATTGGTTATTTTGTGTCTATGGCTTCATTAATTGCCAGTAGCACTCCAAGGATAAAAAGCCATAGCCATTGACGGCAGTGATGGTTTGGGACTCAGGCTATCGTACATCAATAGGGATTTCTCTGAGTCCAATGAAACCGAATTGCCAGAGTACCGGCCAACAGCAGCATGTGTCGTGCAGCATTTTTGACCGGTTACCCAATGTTGCTCAGCAGTGGCAAAAGCAGAATTTTGGTATTGTGCCTGTTCAGATGTCGAAAACTCTGACGAGGATGACGGTGACGACGAACACGAGATGGACAAACAGATGGGAGAGGTGGACCAGCCAGGGGCCGACACGCTGGACGAGAGAATGTGGGGTGACAAAGAGGACGACGAGGATGAAGAGGGGAAAGACGGAAAGAAGAAGGAGGAGTTTGGAGAAGGCAAAGGAGAGGAGAAGCAGACGGACTTGGTAGCCAAGGATGACAACAAAGGTATGCATCTCATTTAACGTCCAAAACAAAAAGAAACTTGCATCGCCCCCCAAAATTGGTTGAATCTGGATTCGAACCTCGGACCCTTGAATTACCTTTCAGTTTGTCCATTTGCCTGAAATTTAACTTTGACATCGGCCCTCCCTCAAATTGTTGATTATCTTGACTTTGTTGTGGTGCCAGTCGGGCACATCATTGTCTTTCTTGTGTTGTGGACCAGGGGTTGTCCCACCTGAAAATTGCCCAACTCAAAATCTTGGAGGTGGTGAAAAATTTGCTTCTAATGGAAGAGTTCCCGTCTTCGTCTGTAGGAGCCGCAGATGACAAAGGGGACAATGAAAAACAGGGAAAGGAAGGTGAAGACGAAATGGGAGAGAACAACGAGAACCAGAAACCAAACAACCTGGAACCACAGGATGAGGTAAGTTGTGGGGATACAGGTGTCACTAGTTTGTAGAGGTTTTTTTTTTTATCAAGAATCATGAGATTTGAAAATCTGTTTACACTTCAAAAGTCCTAAAGGTATGTCCTTCATATATTATATCTCCGGGTGTGGTTATTAATGAAAATTGTTTAAGAAGTTCAGTCTGGGTTTTTTCGTGTAAGAGACATTTTTAAATGTACCCTCATACACATTTGAAGGGAACCGTTGTGAATTTGTTAGATTAATGCAGTAAGATGAAACTATATTATGGCACATTCCTTGCACTTTGACTTTCAAAGGACATCAAGCGCCAGGCCGTGTAACAGTGGTGGGGCTCTAACTTTCTCAATTCTGCAGAATCTGCCGAAACTTCCCAAACGATTCAAAGAATTTTGTGCAGAGGGAGCAAAGGTTTATAAGTACATGTGTTGCCAACGGTAAAAACATGAAGAGTCGGTTGGAGTGGTAACAACATTTGTTGGTCCATTTCAGGGTGAGTTCAATGACGACGAGGTCGATCCACGCAAGGCTAACGAGCCGCCCGAAGCTCCTGTCCCCGAAGACCTGGACATCCCCAACGACCTCAATCTGGATGGGGGGAAGATGGATGACGAAAATGAAGAAGGGGCAACCGAAAACCAAGGTGAGAGTAGGGGACCTTTTACTTGGGAAGAGAGAAATTTGAAAGTGAGTTTGCCCTTTGCCAACGTGGTTTATAAAGCAGTGTGTCTTGAGAGCTTTGGGGAAAAAAAAATTCACAATCAATTTTGCTTGGATTGGACTCAAATCCTAAACCTCCTGCATACAAATGTAGCCGTCGTAAAGACTTGCCCACTCAGCCTGAGGAGGTCAGTTGGTCAGTTCTGGGCCTGATACAGTAAAACCATTATGTTGATCTGCATGCATGGCCTGGCAGCCTAAATCTCAGTTTCATACTTTTTAAACTGGAATCTGCTTGCTTGTCACTCTAACCCGTAACATAAGGAAGACTTCTTTTAGATCACTCCATGAATGTTGGTGACTGGAAACCTCCTGCATCTTCATCGTGATCCACCTTAGTTACCGTTTGAATTCCTTGACGTGTTTTGTTGAAAGCCTCTCACGATCTGAAATCGTACACCCCATATGGCACATTCCATGTCAGTTTGTGCATGAGCAGAACCACTGCCCATGTCAAGTAAAATTGGAGTCCTGTATCCACTAGTACTCTTCTGGTGGAGGTGTAGGATTCTGCAGGTTCAGATTGTTAGAATCAACTGGCGTTGATTTGG